AGAAGGCAGACGATCACTAATTCTCTCTCATCACTGATGTTTCTATCTCTCTCTCCCTCCCTCTTCCTCTCTGAATTTAATAAAAATATTTTTTTTAAAATACACAAAACTTGCTGGAAAACAGGAGTCAGGCCATATAAGCAATGGAAACTGTCCTAAAGACACTGGACCGCACACCTGCAGTCCATCTGCCTTCGAAGCCCACAAGCTCCGCCCCCAGACCCACTGCAGACAAGAGCTTCCCGCCAGTAACTGCATGGAAGGATGGAACTCAAGCTCCTAGGGGCTGCCATCATCAATCCCATGTGCCCTTGGCTGTGCAGCCCTTCCCTTTGGGTATCCCATCCCCCAGCGCCTTTCCTTAAATAAATTCCATTTTTCTTCACCCAGTGTCTGAGATGGCTGTTTAGCTTGCCCTCATGCACCACCATGTTAACCTCTCATATGTGGGATATAAAACTGAAAGCAACAAATACACAAATAAGACAAACAAAAACTCATAGACACTGACAACAGTATGATGTTACCAGACCCCTCTACTGGGGGGCGGTAAAGGGTAAAGGGGGTCAAATACATAGAAGAGATTTGACTTTTGGCTGATAAATATACAAATAATATATTATACACTTGAAATCTATATATTATTAACCAATGTCACCCCAAGTAAATTAAATAAAAAAATTAAAAAAAAAAATACAATAGCCGAAACCGGTTTGGCTCAGTGGATAGAGTGTCGGCCTGCGGACTGAGGGGTCCCAGGTTCGATTCTGGTCAAGGGCATGTACCTGGGTTGCGGGCACATTCCCAGTGGGAGATGTGCAGGAGGCGGCTGATCGATGTTTCTCTCCCATCGATGTTTCTAACTCTCTATCTCTCTCCCTTCCTCTCTGTAAAAAATCAATAAAATATATTAAAAAAAAACAAAAACAATAAATAAGTTGGAATACTAGCCATCATGAAGTTTTTAAAACGGAATTACACTTGTTCTCCTTTCAGATCACCCTGAGCTTTATCAACAGAATGAGCAGAAATGTCATCTGACCTGAAATTCAGCTGCAAATGTTTTCATCCCTATAATAATTAACAAGTCAATCAACAGCTGAGAAAAGCACTACCTCAAAAGCACTATGACTTGATATGCAACAGTATAATAATAGTTCTCATGTACGAGGTGATTACTGCATATCAGGAACCAGGTCAAGCTCTTTACCTCCATTTCCTCATGTAATCAACCCTAGGAGGGAGGTGCTGTGGAAGAAAAAGAGGCCACATACTAAACTTGACAAGCTCAAGAGAAACTACATGGTGGCCTTAAAAACTCAGAAACAGAAGTAACAGCATAGGATGGTCTAAACAACAACAAAATCCTAAAAGCCAGTCATGGCAGGTATTCACATGCTAAGCCTGCAGCTTCGCCAAAGGTCAATCTTTACCTGTCCTTTTGCAACTAAAATAAAATGCCTTTGGAATATCAGAATAATGACCTTTGTTGTTTTTTCCAGACCCCTCGGGGCACAACCTCCCCACCAGAGCAAGAGACCACAGAACCCCTCATTGTTATCTTGTTCCCTGCATACTATCTCTATTTGCTGTAAATGTTAATTAACTATCCTGTACCCACCAAGTAAAAGCAGTATGCATCTCTCCGTTTTATTCTGCTGTCCTCTGCCCCATTAATCTACCACCAATGAATTTCATGTAACCCTCCTTACATCTCCTCCTTTGATTCTAATGTGCAAAATACGCTGTGCCATTCTCTGAAGCATTTTCTCAGTCTGTTGAGATTTTGCTTCCCAGCAATTGTTGTAAGGTTGGTACAAATAAGCTCATAAAAATTCTCCACGGACCTGAGTGTTTCGTATGTCGACAGTGCTATGATGATGCCCATTTTCCAGAGGTGCTGAGACTTGACAGTGTTGGTAACTTGTCAGGTGACAGCAGCAAGTGAGAGAGAAATGCAAACCAAGTCAGTCCAACTCTCGAAATTCAAAAATTCGATAGATCACCTATTAGTTGTCTTCAGAACCTGAAAAATTAAGCAATTGTCTACCTTTCTTTTAAAGGACTGAGCTTTGATATAAATGTATGTATATAAATATATATTTTAAGTTCGAGGGGAGAGAAGTCTTTGGAATATAAATTATGACTTCTGGGAAACCTTAAAAAAAGAAATGTTGCCGAAACCGGTTTGGCTCAGTGGATAGAGCGTCGGCCTACGGACTGAAGGGTCCCGGATTCGATTCCGGTCAAGGGCATGTACCTGGGTTGCGGGCATATCCCCACTGGGAGATGTGCAGGAGGCAGCTGATCGATGTTTCTCTCTCATCGATGTTTCTAACTCTCTATCTCTCTCCCTTCCTCTCTGTAAAAAATCAATAAAATATATTAAAAAAAAAAAAAGAAAAGAAATGTTTACCCTTTTTAATGTCAAACTGCTTATTTTTCTTTTTCCTATCACTTCTTCCATTATTTCCTCAAATTTACTTTCTGCTCCTCAGTGTTTCCTGCAGTCTGAGACATTACAGCATTTTCTTCAATGCCTGGGTCTTTGCTAAGGTGAACAGCGACCTCTAAGTGGGTATTTTCACAAAAAGCCTTTCCTTTTTCCTGCTAACAGAGCTGCGCAGCAGACACCCACCCATAATCCCAGGCCTCAGAGATGCAAAAGGCTCCTCTGGTTCCTTGTCAGTTGCCACAGAAAAAAAGCCAACATCTCACATCTCCACTCCTGGCTGGGCGTGGTCCCTAGATCCCTAGGAAGGGCATCACCTGGGGAGCATTGAACTACTCCAGACCTACAGAATCAGGAACTGCATTTTAACAAAATCCCCAGGTGACTTATATGCATTAAAGGTAGACAACTCCCTATTTTTTAATTATTTACATCTGAGAATATGATATGTAGAAATTCTGCTACCAGTTACCAAGTGTATCTCCTTATACTGAAGATGCCAAAATCCACTAAATACTTTTGTCAGCTATTTTAATTATTGAGTGACTTTTTAATTAACTATTGACAATCTGGCCACTTAGTTTTGTTCTTCCACAATCCCAATCTCCCTTAGCCACCAGTAAAATTTTTAAATGATGTAGAAATTCGGATTCCAATGGGTGGCGATTTTGAGGGTTCTGTTACAAGGGAGTAAACAGAAATTGTGATGTGCATAGTTTTTTTAAAGTTTGTGAAAAGAGGGATTGTTGGGAGGCCCATGACAACACAGCTGGACTTGGGGAGCCCACAACCCAGAAACTTCAACAATGAGTAAGGTCCCAGGCTCTGAGCTGAAAACCTCAGCACTCCTGCTGAGTGAGGCTCTATGACTAAGTGAACAGCCTCATCCTTCTGCTTTAATTTCCTCATCTGAAAATTGAGGATGTTCTGAGAGTTGAATGAGATGCTGCAAGTTCAGCACTTAGCATAGGGTCAGGCACAAAATAAAGGCTTGATATATGTCAAAAACAATGATAGACCCCAGATGCTAACAGGCTAATGGCTCCTCTCCGTAATTTTAAAATGAAAATAGTAAAGAAAAATCATACTGAAGGTAGAAATGAAAACAGCAGCTTCCTAAATTTTCTGATGACAACATTCCAGATAACTGAGGTCAGGTGTTTCTCCTGTTTCTGTGCTTAAGCCTTAATAATTCCCTTAATAAAGCTGCTTGGCATGACCAGGTCAAGGAAAACTCGGGGCAAGAAGCTCAGCCATCTCATCCTGCTTTATTTAGTGTGCCCAAGCTTGGGGAGGAAGACACAGCTGGTGAAAGGAACAGGGAGACAGCGTGAAACAAGCAGGAACCATAAGGTTGCACAGGCAGACCTGTTACTGCGCTTCACAGATGGTGCTTTCTCTTTTACAAACTGAAAGCAAGATACTCCCCTTACCACAGTGGTCTGGAACTCAACCACCAAAATCTCCTAGGTCTGCCTGTACCTGATTACTTCTAAGGTCTAGGGCTGTATAGTGTATATTTTCATTTGCTCACTCAATGTAAAACCACTTCACATCATTTGGAAAGAACAATCAGAAAAGTATCGATTGCCCTTCTTGAAACGTTCGGGAGAGCTCAATCCCCAAACATTTTCACTATCACCATCACAACTCGCTCGCGTTCTCACGCACTCAGAGCACCCACTGGGGCCTGAGTGGCTCCCATCACTCCAGCCACGAAAGCCCCGCTAAGCCTGGAGCCTTCGCAGATGCCACTCCCTCCTACTAATGAGCTCCTCTACATGCTGCAAAACCCAGTTTTAGACTCTGCCTCTCTGGAACCTTCCCTGAGCCCCCGGGGGACATCCAAATGCCTTCTTTGGGCATCCTTCTATACTGGCAATCGTTCTCGAGGGGCTGTCAGCTCCCTGCGGGCAGAGCAGTCTAAGAGCTCTGCCTCCCAGTGCCCGGCGCAGGGTCCGCAGAGTAGGCCGAACGGCGCCTTTTTACGGATGAGAAAACCAAGACTCCGCGAGATGAACTGAGGAACTCAGGGAGCAAACAGGGCTCCCGGGCGGGCCAGCCTCAGAGCTGAGTCCGTCTTTCTTTGCCTCCAGCGCCCCTAGAACCCACACCAACTCGACTAGAAAGCGGACGCAGGGAACTGAGTTTTCTCAGGGGTCCGGAGAACTTGGCGCGGCGAGAACCCAGATCCATCCCGCCCGGCTGCACGGAGCTCCTCTGGGTCACGACGGCCGGGGCGAGGTGGGCGGCTCCGACAGAGGAGCAGCTCGCACACAGCGCGCTCGCTGGGACACGCACCGAGGCGGGACCCAGACAGCCATCGACAACCCACCCCGCAGCCCAGGGCCGGAAAGCGCTTACCAGGGAAAGACCGCCATCTTCCCAGTCACATGACCGCCTCTTCCGGGGCGGCAGGCCCTGTGCTCCCTGCCAGGCCCCGCCCCCGCCCCACCCACCGCCCTGCGCCACGCCCCAGTCACGCCCCCGCCAAGATACGTGCAGACCACGCCCCGCCCCTGTGCCCCGCCCCCCGTCGCGTCACGCCCCTTGCGTCACCCACTGTCCCCAGCGTCGCGCCCCCGCCGGGATTACGCACTTGGCCACGCTCTGCCTCTCGGGCCGCGACCTCCGAGCACCAGACAGGTAGGGCCCGAGTTGGGTCTCGCTGGGAAGGGAGAGCCTCCCGCCTCGCTCGGGCGCTGATCTCTGGCGCCGAGTGAAGCTGTGAAGCGCCAGCGCCGGTTCCCCGGCTCCAGGATTTGGAGGGGCAGGCTCCTTCCCTCTAGAGGGGCCAGTCCCTAGGTCAGGAGGTCCAGCCTCTCCCTAGACCTAGACAGGCTCCCTCCCCAGAGCGGGGGTAACTCCCGAGTGAGGGGCTCCCTCCCTAGAGAGGCTCTGGCCTTCTAGAGAAGTGCTCCCCACTAGAGGAAAAAGGAAGCCCGCTCCCTAGAGAAAAGACCCCCTTAGACTGAGGCTCACTCCCCTGGAGGGCGGAGGGAGTCCTCCTCTCTAAAGAGTGGGTTTCTGCGCTGACCGGTTTGGCTCAGTGGATAGAGCATTGGCCTGCGGACTGAAAGGTCCCAGGTTCGATTCCCGTCAAGGGCATGCACCTTGGTTGCAGGCACATCCCCAGTAGGGGGTGAGCAGGAGGCAGCTGATTGATGTTTCTCTCTCATCCATGTTTCTAACTCTTTATCTCTCTCCCTTCCTCTCTGTAAAAAAAAAATCAATAAAATACATATTTTTTTTAAAAAAGAGTGGGTTTCTCCCTACAGCAAGCATGTCAGACTCCAAGGCTAACACGGGCTAAATAAACAAGGTTTAAGTATGTGGCCGCAAAAAAAAACAAAAGCAATTTTCATAGAAACATAGGTTTATTTCGATAGAGACATGCTGAATACAAAGAGCTGAAACAAATGAGTCATCGTTAACATAAAATAACAGAACATTTTAATAAAAATTAATATTTTGTCTTGAACATTAACTTAACAGACACTGAATAACTGCACAAATTAATAAACATAACACCAATAAACTTATTTTTCTTGTGCTCTGAAAGCGAAATATTTCCTGTTGCGCACACCAAACAGGTCAGTTCAAGACTAATGATGTGGCCATCGGCTGCTAAAATATTCGCTGTTAATATTAGTGGAGAGAAGTGGTGCACCTGTGTGTAAGGTGCGTACGGAAAACGAATGCAACATGATGATAGTAATCAGTCATTAGCGAACGTTGTAGTTTGTTATTAATAATTATGTATAACAGGATATTATAAAAATTAAGTGACAAAATTTTTATTAAAACTTTTCTTACTGGCTGGGCTGTATGTAAAACGTTTATTTAAACGTTTCTTACATATTGGCTGGGCTGCAAAACTATTCGTTGCGGCCCGTGGGCTGTGAGTCTGATATGCTTGCCCTAGAGAGTGGCAAGGAGCCTCCTCCCTAGAAAGAAGCTCCCTTTATCAAGAGGTGGAGTGGCCCCATTTACTAGGGACTCCTGAGCTCCCCTAGCTGGGAGCTCCCTCCACTCCCCTCTCTAGGGGGAGCCCTTCTCTAGGGAGGCGGGCTTCTCTATGAAAGAAAGCTCCCCTTCCCTCTATGGAGGAGGCCCCTCTGTGGAAATAGAGCCATTAGAAGGGAGCGCGTTCAATGGGCCCGTAGGAATGGACCTCTACAACAAGAGGAAAGGCTCCCCATCCCAGGATTTGTCACACTTCTCCTGCTACACACTCAGCACAGAGACTGGCAGCTAGGACCAGGGATGAGACACATGTCACACCAGCACCAATGTGACAGAGCACCCCAGAACTTCCAGCCAGACTTCACAGTGCACCCCGAGGGCACAGATGCTGCATATCAGAGTGAATGTTTCTGTTAGGTGGCTCAGGAGGTGGCGCAGAGAATAAGGAGAACCAAGCCGGTCAGAATAGGAAAGGAGAGTTTTATTCTGCGTCCCTGGGAGAAACAAGCCCAAAGGCAGGGCCAGTGAATTCTTGCCAACAGGGAGGGGGGGGCACTTTGTTTTATATACTGCGGTTGGGTGAGGGGCAGGGGCATGAACTGAGGAAGTTCCGCCGCAGGGGGTCAGCAGGGTATTCAGGAGTCAGTATCTGTGTGGGGGTCGTCGTGGATACCAGGAAGGAGCCGGTATCTGTGTCTGGCAGGCTGATCTGTTAGAAATTCCAGGGAGAGTCCATTATCTCATCACACATCTGCATGCATCTGATCCTGGGCTCCCTCCAACCTAACATCTCCACCTTTAGTGATAGGGGACACGGATTCATTCTGACAGCTTCCAGCTGACCAGGGATGACGAAGGGGGGTTCTAAAGGCCAGGGTCAGGCAGAGGCAGTTGGAGGGCAGCTGAGTGTAGTAGGGATGGAGCAGGAACTGATTCACAGTCACCTGTGACATCTCCGCTATCCAGAAGCAGATGAACTTGAGGAGGCAGGGGGCTAAGAGAAAAAAGACACAGATGAGAATTGGGGGCCCTATCATGGGTAGGACCCAGGTAGCTAAGGGGCTTTGGAACCAGTCTAAAAGAGAGTTGTTTCGGGAGTGTCTTGTATGTAGTTCTTCACTCAGCTTAGTCAGGATCTGCACGTTTTGCTCCACTACTCTGGACTCTTTGACGTAGTGGCAGCATTCTTCCTGAAGGAATATGCAGGTTCCTCCTCTTTCTGCAGTCAGAAGGTGTAAGGCAGGGGTCCTCAAACTACAGCCCGCGGGCCACATGCAAATACAAATATTGTATTTGTTCCCGTTTTGTTTGTTTACTTCAAAATAAGATATGTGCAGTGTGCATAGGAATTTGTTCATAGTTTTGTTTTTTTTTTAACTATAGTCCGGCCCTCCAACGGTCTGAGGGACAGTGAACTGGCCCCCTGTTTAAAAAGTTTGAGGACCCCTGGTCTAAGGCGTGCTTGTTCTGTAGGGCTACCTGGGCTATTGATGTCGCTTGCCGCTGTAGGGAGGCTAAAAGAGGCGGTAGTAGACTCCAGGGCTAACTGGAGCTTGTCATTAAAGTCCTGAGCAGTGACCAGACTATTCCCGAGGGCCCCCCAGTGAGGCCTACCGAGGCAGCGATACTCACCCCTAACATGACAGGGAGGAAGGCAGCCCGGCGGGTCTGGGGTGGGATGGAAAGAGCAGCCAGGCGAGCTCCGACTCTCCATACAAGGTTAGTTGGGGAACTACTGTGACCACAAAGCAAGGTCCAGGGTCAGAGGAGTTTATGCAGTTGCTTAAGGTGCTGTTGCATCAAAAGAAGGTACCTGGGCCAGCCTTGGTGTACTGGTTGCGGTGTGGTTTTGAGTACAGTTCCAAGTGACTCGTCCCCCAGTTACTGGATTACTGGTCTGGTAGCATATCCGTGGGGGCAGGGTGGGCTCTGGAGTTTTGGGTTCCCAAAGAGAAAAAAAGGGGGGCTACCCCTGACCTCATTATAGTCATCATTGATGACACAGTCTCTCCAGTGGCAACCCCCATAGGTGTTGACATCTTGATTACACCTGTCTGGGTTCCGCTGGTCGTAAGCAAAACAGACATAGGGTTGGCCACCATTGGCCACTGACCAGATGTTGACAGCCATCAGGATCTTTGTCTGGCATCCGACTAGAGGGTAGCCCGGAGATCCTACCTGCTGGGTGACTTGTTTGCCATCTGATAGTAGGCCCACGGACCTTGAACCTCCACACATAAGTGGGTGGGGGTGGGTGTAGGTTGCTCAGGGCCAGGAGGAGAAGGAGGAGGGGGAGGGTGACCAAGGTGGACCTTAGTGGGGCCCAACACCTCACATTTATAGAAGTCATGCTGCTCCAGGGTCCTCTTGAGTCTGGAGAGGTGGTGCCACGATGGGTCGCCAAGTAGTTTGGCCGTGGTGGGGGTTGTAAGGATTACAGTGTGAGGTCCCGTCCACCTAGGCTCCACGGCTTTTGGATGTAGATTCTTAAGGAGGACCGAGTCACCAGGGTGAAGGGCTGGTCCTTGGGAGTCCTGGTTGGTCAGCTCTGGCTTGGGCAGAAACCTGTCCACGTGTTCTCGGAGCAATTGCCTGAGTAAGGACAGATATGGAAGATAAGTACCCAGGGGAGGAGGATCAGTAGGGAGACAGTGGTAGAGCAAGAAGGGTCTCCCATATAGGAGTTCAAAAGGGCTTAAGAAGGTGGGGCTCCTTGGTGTAGCCCAGATTCTGGTCGGGACCATGGGCAGGAGGTCCAGCCAGGAGCTGCGAATTTCTAGAGAGAGTTTAGTTAGATGGCCCAATAAGTTGGAATTGAGTGGCTATGATGAGGGTTCGAGTCAGTGACAGACAAATCCAGCAGGATGTAGAGGAGGAGGGATTGATGTTAGAGAGTAGATGGAAAGTTGTGTTGATGATGGTGGGCATAAGAGTAGGTTCAGGGTTCATAAATAGAGAGTGACACCAGAGGATTTCCCATCCCAGACAGTAGAATTGATAACTCCCTCATCATTCCATGTCCATTTCACCTGAAAATATTAAAAACCTGAGTTTCTTCTGGAGTAAAATTGGAGGGTCCCTGGCCAGGTAAGAGCCTGTGAGGAATGATGGGTCATCAGGTCCTGGATGGTGTCGCCGAATCTTCTTCGGGGATGGTAGGAGGCATTTGGTGAGCCTGAGAGAGGTAGGTATTGCAGTGAAAGTGGAAGGGAATATTAGAATGCGCTGTTATCCAAGGGAAAAGAGAAAGGGAAGGAGCAGTGGAAGCCAGGGACCTGGATATGAGGCTGGAAAAAGGCGGGGGGGTGAGAGTGGGGGGGGCGTGGAGGGCGGGGGGAGGGAGCAGGCTGCCTGCTCCCAGGCTTCTAGCCATTTGGATTTTATTTTATTTTATTTTATTTATTTATTTTTTTTAATTAAATCTTTATTGTTCAGATTATTACATTTGTTCCTCTTTTTTCCTCCCCATAACTCCCCTCCTCCCAGTTCCTGCCCCACCCTCCGCCCTCACTCCCCACCCACTGTCCTCATCCATAGGTGCACGATTTTTGTCCAGTCTCTTCCCGCATCTCCCACACCCCTTTCCCCCCCAAGAATAGTCAGTCCATTCCCTTTCTATGTCCCTGATTCTATTATAATCACCAGTTCATTCTGTTCATCAGATTATTTATTCACTTGAT